GGGGGGGCTTTGGAATTGAATATACAACAGCCCCTCCTTCTCCAAGAACAGCATCAAAAATCAATGAATGACTCCTTTTCTTGAGTACACTACTTGGTTAGGTACCGCAGTTACTTGGCATTCTTGTGATACGTGGTGAGGTTAAACAATCCCCGCCCCCCCGGGGTTCATTCATCCCTCCATCCCCCTGAAAGAAGCAAATCCAAACGCGTCGTCTACACATACCCACATCTCCCATCTCACAGAGTACAATACCACACCGGGGAATCTAATCCGCCTTCCCCCCAAGACCAAACAAACCCAGGTAGGTACGCGTAAGATGATACACCACGTATTCAAACACCTACCCAATAACCCCCTTAACCAGCGTCGCCCAACTCATCCGCCAAGCAAGCAAATCCCCCCAACGCCAAGCATATATATCCCCATATATATCCCCATAGCCAAGAAAAAACACATCTCCACGTAAGACACAAGACACCCAAATTCAGTGCAGGAAGATCACATGATATCGATCCCACGAGCTGAGATGGGCTGGGCTGGGCTGGGCTGGGCAATGCAAAATGCAACATCGTTGATCCGCGTATGGTGTTTGACGCGCGTTCCGCCCGCCGTTTTATGATTTCTTGGGAGCGCGCGCGAGGCTGTGAGTAAGGTAGTGAGTGAGGGGAAGTAAGTTTACCGATGATGTACAGTCTACCGTACGATGATGTACGTAGTAGTGTACATCACAATGCAGCAGCAGCAGCTCACTGGGTTTAACGGGCGAAGGATTGCTTATTATTACTTCTTTCTTTTCTTGCTTTCTTGGCTATATTTATTCGATCAATCGAGTGATGATATTGGAGATATTGGAGTATGCCAAGTCGCGTATACAGAGTTATTGATGAGCCAAGGTGGGTAAGCAAGGCATTGCAACGCGGCATTTGAGATTCGGGGTACAGACAATCAATTATTGTACGATGTTATGAATGAATCTGTGAAACGAGCACAAAATAAATAAAGGAATAAAATAAAATAAAACAAATTTATGCACGCAGGCACAGCACAGAAGAGTAAGGATTAGTAGATGGGATGTGCAATAGTGCAGGCTTGGAAGGCTTGGGGAGAAAGCTTGGTATGTGATGTTGTGCAGGGTATGGTGATTGGAGGAGTTGTGTCGGGGTGTGTGAGGGAAGGGAAAGAGTGGGAGATGGGATGCGATGCGATGAGGGATATCGTGAGTTTTATATCCCTCTAAAAAAGAAGACAGACAGCAAGAAAGAAAGATAGATACGAAGAGAAAGAAGAGAAAAAAGGGGCAGCATCAAAAAGGACAGAAAAGCATCATCAAAGGACCCTCCCTAATAAAATGAAACAGAAATCCATAGTTCGATCGCACTCCGCCTACCTAAGGTACCTACCTTAGGTACATAGGTACATGACACGACCAACACGAACATGACTCTATTCCCAAATTACACCAAGACCACCCAAGACCGCCCATCTTCTAAGAATACCCTACCTTACCCATCCATCCAATTTCACCACGCGAATGCAGCGTGACGGCACTCACTCAACTCACTCGCTGGTTCGTAGATAATAGATACAGATACCGGACGCTCGGCATTCATGCTGCTTGCTCATCCCATCAATGCAATGGCCTCGCGATGCATCACCAGATGAAGCAATGGGAATCGCATCCCCATCGCATCTCATCTCGCCACCGCTCCCTCCTCCCCCACCGTTCCCATCCTGTATGTAGCTTATCTCACTCCCTAGGTAGGTACTCCGCTCCCTAAAACATTAACCGCCCGAAAATATCTATCTATCTATACTATCGTTGAATTGAAAATGAAATGAGATTACGGACAGAGAAGCTTTTTCCAGCGACACTTAGGTATGTATGATTATGGAGCCCCTCCGTGGGCGGGAGGAGTCGGCGGGTATGTTTATTAGGTGGGGATTGCAGGTATTTTAATTTTATTTTACGGGGGATATATACCTTAGATATTGTAAATAAAAATAAACATGGCATGGAAAGTAAACAAGAATGTAAATAAAAAAGTAAATAAATAAACAGAGTATCGTGAGGTATGCATTCATTGCTTGAAGCTGCGATGCCCTCGAGATTGTTGGAGAAGATGAAGAAGATGAAGGTTCGGGAGTTCGCGCGCGCGCGCGCGGAGAGGCGAGGATGGAGAGCGGAAGGGTGAGGATTTGATGGTAGGAGTCGAGAAATTCTAGATAAACGGACAGCACATGAACCAGGAACCAATTGATTGATCAATTGGACATCCATCTTCATCATCATCACCATCACCATCTCCAAATCCCAATTGACCTCATGTTTACCTCGCGCTCACAACATCAACATCACCAAACATCGCCAAACAATACATTCCTAATATTAAAGGCCCCATCCCCCCCCATTCGCTACTGCACGCATATCTGCAGCTAGGGCAAAGGTCTCGCCAGCCGTACAGTAGCGTTCACGGTTCACCCCACCAGGCACGAAGGGGGAAATTGGACGGAGACGACTACGAAAGGACCGGAGCCGCTACTATTTACTGACATTATTGGGGCTAAAAGGCTAATCATTCATTCATTCATTCATTCATCGCGGAGAAAGCAGTAGTAAGTAAGAAAGGGGAGAGAGACGGTGAGAGGGGGTGTGTTATGTGGTGCTGTTGGGGCACGGCGAGGAGAAATAATTCCAATTTTTCCAATTCGACGTTTGGATAGGAGTGATAGCCACACACCCTCACGCGCCAACGCAAGGCCGGCGTGACGATCCAGCCCAAATTACGGAGCATGGCCCCGCGTCAAACCTATCGGCAGCGATGCTTTGCAAGACAGAAAATCGCTCACGACGCAATGATCCCCCACATCTGCGACCAATGGAAGGCTGCAGCTCGACGGTCGAGTCCGGTTTTCTGGCACACCAGGAGGGATGAAGGGGGGAAGAAGAGAAGGGGAAAAAAGGGAAGGGAAAAAAAAAAAAGAGAAGAGAAAAAATCTGTCGGTGGAGTAGAGAATGGACACTGTGGATTGGAAGAAGGGGAATAAGGGACAATGGAAGAATCGATGAAGGAGAGAAAGGCACAGAATGAAAAAAGCAGACATTCGAGACGAGGGCCCCGCTGAGGATTGCAGTAGGGTACCCGAAATACCCGTTCTATCTGCTGCTGTTCGTGCCGTGCAGCTGCCAGTGCGTGGGATTTGCAGCGTCGGGATCCCATATCTGTCACTTGTTGCTGGCAATTGGAAGCTGGGAAAGCTTGAATGCAATTGACCGTAGGCACTGCACTGTCAGATGGCCAGGAGAGGGAAGGTCTCCCTCACGAGTCACCCCCTCCTGTCATATAAGATATGTATCTCATGGATTATGGGATTCCCACTGTAAAACCCACCCGGTATAAATATCTCCTACGGCCCACGAGACACCCCACTCTGCCGCCGCCGCTCCAATCACCGCCGCAATTGCTGCATGAGATAATCTCCCATATGCTTAAATGAAGGGGAGCCATGCTGTCTTGGGCGTAGGGCGGCGTGGGAGGGGGAGCCGTTTAGGAAAGAGGGGCGCGATGTTGTTGATGTTGATAACTTGATGTTGATGTTGTTTGTTGTTGTTCGTCGCTTTGTTTTGTTCTATCCGCTTTGGGCGAAGGTTCAGGGCCGTATCGTGATGTTGGATGTGCACAACCCTGTGCCTCTTGTGCATCTTGTGCATGTTATATAAATACGTTAATGCACGTTATGTGAGGTTATGTCCCGTTATGCCCTGTTATGCCATGTCGATACTGCACAGATACTTGGCATCCATATGATATCAGAGGTGCGCTGATCCAGGCACCGTACCCTCGTGCCACGACTCTATTTCCAGCGCATCAATGCCCATCAATGGCCTCAACGGCCACTGACAACCGCGGGAGGACTCGGGCGCCTTCAGCCGCTGAGGTCAGCCATGCGGTCTCTCCCTCTCGCACGATCTGGAATCCTGATGAAAGATGGACGATGCCCTGCCCTGTGCATATCATGGCCCATGGTCCATGGTCCATGGCATCGCGTGCCGTCGTCCGCATCCTATCAGCAGCGAGGGCGGGCAGGAAAATGCCTCATACAAAAGTGCCAAAGCGATGCACCGAAGGAAGGGAGGGGGGTGAAAAAAAACGTTATACTCAGACGCGCCGGTCCCAGCAACGGGCGCCGTCTGATTACGGCAGCGCAAATAATGACAGGCACGACGGATAAACCGGGTAGGGAGGATAAATCGGAACGACCGAATCGAGAAGCGGCCAGCACGACGCTAGCAGGCCGCCTTGCCCGATGCGGCATAGCATCGAAGGCAGATAAGGCCAAGCCCGCCAAGAGGAAATTTCGGCGGGTGGGGCCCGCTACCCTACGCCATCTGCACGGGGCTCGCGTGGGCGGCACTAGGCGCGATCGGGGAAGTAGCTACGACGGAGCTGCCAACTTAGCTGGCCCTGCTCACAGCTCGCCCGGGCGAGGGTCGCGCGAGGCATCAGGGGGCGTGGGAACAGCGGCACACCAGAAGCCCGGCACCATGATTCCGTGCAGGAGAAAAGGTCGGGGTGCAGGGGCAATCGCGTCCCAGACTCCCAGGGCAGCGCGGCTCCCGTGCCTCACATCGCTGGCCCTGCACCAACAGCAGTCAGTTCCCGAGCCTGCCCGAGCGGGAATAATGTGGATGTAGCGGCGCGCGATAGGCCCACCTCCATCCTACTGCCTTCCTTCCTGCGGTCGAAGCGTCGACGCGCCCAGAAGCCCGTCCGCCCTCTTCGCGCTCCTGATGAAACCGGCAATATCACTACGCGCACCGCTAACCACCGAACTACCTGAGCCTAGGACCACTCCCACGAGATTATGCCCCAACTAGGGCACGCCTGTTATTAAGTCCTGAATAATAACATCAACAATCCAATACACTCCGCGCCCAATGAGGGCCGCGCATCGGGGACCACTGCAAATCTTAAAACGCAATCGTGGCATCGCGGTGGCCCCCCCGGCCGCGGCACTTCCCCCCCGTCGCTCCGCGGTACGCATCCTGATTGGCCAATGCCCGCCCAGCCGAGGCTCGTCATGACTAGAGTCGCTATCGGTAGGGTTGGGGAGGGCCCGTCGTGGGAGCGGTGCGCGCTGGGCGAATGGGCAGGCCCGTAATCAGAACCAGAACCATCGTTGCAGCAATTTGCGGTACAGGTAGCTTAGGTAGCTATCTGCGCAGAGCTTCCGTAATAATGCTCGACGCTGAGGGTCGGTGGGTGGCATGGGGTGGGAACGGTGGTATTATGGTGGTATTATGGGGGGGATGATCACGGCGTCTGAAGGACCGGTGGGGTGGATTACGGTGGATGATTACCGTGTATTCTGCAGCCGCTGGTGGTATTCGGGCCCATGGCCGTAAACACACGGGCTGCCCGTTGCCCAGCAATGGCAGGAATACCGGGGCGCGGTAATCCCGTCTGTCTGCAGCAGCTGCTGCAATTTACAGAAGAGCGCCGCCCGTCCCTCGCGCCCCGCCGTAGTGCCGTGCAGCCCGGTGATACCTGACATGCGAGGCCGCCAAGGCACACACACACCGCCCGCGCAGCAGATCCGCCAATGGCCGCCACCCGACGTCGACTATTTTTTTCCCATCCTACGTCTATCCTGCCCTAAACCCTTCCCGGCCTAGCCCCGTGCGCCCCGTGTTGTCGTCGACGCATAGAAAAGAAGCGCAGTCCCCCTGCGATCATCTTCTCCTCTCCCTCCCTCCCTTCCTTTCTTTCCTTACTTCCTCCTCGACCCATCGACACTCCCTCCCCCCTCTCCCTCCTCCCCCCCGACAGGTAGGTCGCCATCAATCCACCATGGCAAACGACCTTGAGAACGGCAATGCCGACAAAGAGACGGATGCTTTCGCCAACCAGCCCGATGAGGGAGAATACGGCAACCTCATTCGTTACATCTCCCAATACCGCGATGGCCGCAGGGCCTCAACAGTCGGCTCAGAAGCGCCAAAGAAGAAGCACTGGTGGCAGCGCGCAGCGAAGGGCGCCGGTGGTGAAGGCTTCGAGACTCCCGAAGAATGGTTGAACACCGACATGAAGCAGGGTCTGTCCAGCCACGAGGTTGAGCAGCGCCGCAAGAAGACCGGTTGGAACGAATTGACCACCGAGAAGGAGAACATGTTCCTCAAGTTCCTGTCATACTTCACCGGTCCAATTCTCTATGGTAAGCTCACAACCCGCCTGCCCTGCAGCTGCCCGTCCGGGCCATTGGCAGGGCCCAATTATCCATTACGGCCCCAATTGACTCGTGTCTGCAGTTATGGAACTTGCCGTCCTCCTCGCTGCCGGTCTTCGTGACTGGATCGATTTTGGTGTCATTATTGGTATTCTTATGCTCAACGCTGTCGTCGGTTGGTACCAGGAAAAGCAGGCTGCGGATGTCGTCGCCTCCCTGAAGGGTGATATTGCTATGCGAAGCACTGTCGTTCGTGACGGCCAAGAACAAGAGATCAAGGCCCGCGAACTTGTTCCTGGTGACATCGTAAGTCGGCCCGCGCCTGTCTCGACCGACGGTCGGCATATCCGCAGGACTGCAACTGACTCGTGATGTAGATTATTGTCGAGGACGGACAAGTTGTCCCTGCCGACGCCCGCATCATCTGTGCTTACGACGACCCCGCCGGATACGAGACCTACCTCAAGGAGCTCCAATCTCGACTCCACGACACTCCTGAGGAGAAGGACGACGAGGATGAAGTTGGAGGCGAGAAGCACGGTTCCGGATACGCTCTGCTTGCCATTGATCAATCTGCCATGACTGGTGAGTCTCTCGCCGTCGACAAGTACGTCGCAGATGTCATCTACTACACCACTGGTTGCAAGCGTGGAAAGGCCTACGCCATCGTCACCCACTCCGCCAAGATGTCTTTCGTCGGTCGCACTGCTTCATTGGTTTCTGGTGCCCAGGACCAAGGTCACTTCAAGGCTATCATGAACTCTATCGGTACGACTCTGTTGGTTTTGGTCGTCGGCTGGATCCTTATCTCCTGGATTGGTGGCTTCTTCCACCACCTCAAGCTTGCCACCCCCGAGCACAGCCAGAACGTTCTCCTCCGTTACGCCCTTGTTCTCCTGATCGTCGGTGTCCCCGTCGGTCTTCCCGTCGTTACCACCACCACCCTTGCGGTCGGTGCTGCGTACCTCGCTGAGGAGAAGGCTATCGTTCAGAAGCTCACTGCCATTGAATCCCTCGCTGGTGTCGACGTTCTCTGCTCTGACAAGACTGGTACGCTTACCGCTAACCAGCTCTCCATTCGTGAGCCCTTCGTCGCTGAGGGTGTTGACGTCAACTGGATGATGGCTGTCGCTGCTCTTGCTTCCTCCCACAACGTCAAGTCTCTGGACCCCATTGACAAGGTCACCATTCTCACCCTCAAGCGTTACCCAAAGGCCAAGGAGATCCTCGCCCAAGGCTGGAGAACCATCAAGTTCACCCCCTTCGACCCTGTCTCCAAGCGTATCACTGCCATTGTTGAGAAGGATGGTGTCACCTACACCTGCGCCAAGGGTGCCCCCAAGGCTATCCTGAACCTCTCCGCTTGCTCCAAGGAAGATGCCGACATGTACAAGGCCAAGACCACTGAGTTCGCTCGTCGTGGTTTCCGTTCTCTTGGTGTCGCCGTCAAGGAGGGTGACAAGGAATGGCAATTGCTCGGAATGCTGCCCATGTTCGACCCTCCCCGTGAGGATACCGCCTCCACCATTGCTGAAGCTCAAGTTCTCGGTCTCGCCGTCAAGATGCTTACTGGTGATGCCATCGCCATTGCCAAGGAGACTTGCAAGATGCTTGCCCTCGGTACCAAGGTTTACAACTCTGACAAGCTCATCCACGGTGGTCTGTCTGGTACCACCCAGCACGACCTCGTTGAGAAGGCCGATGGTTTCGCTGAGGTCTTCCCTGAGCACAAGTACCAGGTCGTCGAGATGCTCCAACAACGTGGCCATCTCACTGCCATGACTGGTGATGGTGTCAACGACGCTCCTTCCCTGAAGAAGTCTGACTGTGGTATTGCCGTCGAGGGTGCTACCGAAGCTGCTCAGGCCGCCGCCGATATTGTCTTCCTTGCTCCTGGTCTTAGCACTATCGTCACTGCCATCAAGATTGCGCGACAGATCTTCCAACGTATGAAGGCATACATTCAATACCGTATCGCTCTTTGCCTTCACTTGGAAGTCTACCTTGTCACTTCCATGGTCATCATCAACGAGACCATCCAAGTTGATCTCATTGTCTTCCTTGCCCTGTTCGCCGATCTGGCCACCATCGCCGTCGCGTACGACAACGCTCATTTCGAACAACGCCCTGTCGAGTGGCAACTTCCCAAGATCTGGATCATCTCCATCGTCCTCGGTGTCCTCCTGGCTCTCGCTACCTGGGTTGTCCGTGGTACTATGTTCTTGCCCAACGGTGGTATCATTGAGAACTTCGGTTCCATCCAGGGTATCCTCTTCCTTGAGATCTCCCTTACTGAGAACTGGCTCATCTTCGTCACCCGTGGTGGTAACACCTGGCCCTCTTGGCAACTCGTCGGCGCCATCTTTGGTGTCGATGTTCTTTCAACCGTCTTCTGTGTGTTCGGTTGGCTTGATGGTGGATGGGGAGAGCCTTCCAACCCTGCCACCCACAACCGTCTCCTTTCCCACCGCAACACCTCCATCGTCACTGTCATTGTCGTCTGGGCATACTCCATCGGTGTCGTCATCGTCATCGCCATCGTCTACTACCTGCTCAACAAGTGGTCCTGGTTGGACAACCTTGGACGTGCCAAGCGCAGCCGCGCTGACACCCAAATGGAGAACATTCTCATGCATCTCTCCAAGGTTGCCGTCCAGCACGAGCAGGATGAGCACGGAAACAGCCGCTGGCACCTTGCTCCTCGCGCCACCGAGGCCGAGGAGGATGATTAGACGAATCGCATCATGCGCACTGTTGTTGTTTGTTGGGGAGGGGTGTTTATATCGGGACGCAGTAGGATGGCATCAGAGTGGTAGCGTTCGCGGTCACATCTCCTGGCCATATGTCTAACTCATCTGACCAAAGGATATCGACCCGGCGCCCTCTGCTCTCGTACACGTTGTCCCTACCCGGCCTCCCTGATATCCTGTTTTGTGTTAGACTGGGATCCGATGTCAGGATAGATATACCACTGTACTTAATTTTCTTTGATAATCAACTGTCTTAATATCTATATCTTGTGCCATCCTAAGTGATGACTAATTTAATCTAATCAAATGTGAAGAGTCCTGGCTGTGTGATTCCAAAGTGTCTTCCATCTCTCTCAAGTATCTTTACTATCTTCTTCATCCAACCAACTCTTTCTTCCATCTCATCCTTCTCTCTCCCTCGTACTCGTCTTCTCTTCTCTTCTCACTCCTCAATCTCAACTTACCTTTCCCTACTTCTGTTATTCTATTTAATTCAATTCATTTACTTTTCACCTGGTCTACATTTCAAGCTTTTGATCTTCCCCTCTACTTCTCACTACCTATCCTGGGGTATTGGTTGATCATAGTTGAAGAACCTCCAAACGAATAAACGAAACAGAAGCCGCGATCCCCATCCATGCCCCTCCTATCCCTCCTATCCCTCCCCCTTCCAGAATCAAAAGACGATCAGATCCTGACGTCGACCTGCCCGTGCATGACGCTGCGAGGTGCGGCGTGGTTCCGCGCGCGTCATGGCATGTCATCGAATGATGCCTTTTTTGGTTTTCGGATGTGGGATGTGGGATTTTCGGGTGCGGGGTACGGATGGATGGACGAGGAGGATTTAATTAAAGGGAGCGAGCGGAGGGGATGATCTTGTGTTAGAGTGTATGTATATATCTATGTATATGTATTTTTTTATATTTCGGGGATTTGTTTGGGATATTATTTATCCATCTCTCTGTTGATCACTCTATTTCCTAATCGCACCACTAACGACTCGCGATGAAAACACGGGGTCGGGAGGGAGGAGCTCGACCGAATTCAAGGGTTAGGAGCTTGTGATGGATTGAGATTGATCGATCACCTGTGCATGATGATGACCCTGTCTCGAACTCTCTACTCTATAAATCGCGCGCCTTGAAAGGTGATTGATCATCTTTTCTGAGGCAGTTATGCCTGCCTGCTCTCTTGGATCTAAGGTTAAAGATGTATGCAAACTTCTGCCTCTATCCCTGCAGAGTCGCGGGCAGGGGCTCTTTTTTTGGTGTGTTTCCTTTCTAGAGGATGACATACCTCCTAGACAGGGATAAGTACCGACCTAAAGATGAGGTCCCAGCAGGTGTTCGCACACTTAATATCTCGGGTACAGAGCTCCGTAGCAGATTGCGAACTGGGCGTGAAGTCCTTGACTCTCGTGTCTTTATGGATGCTGTTCTGCTGTTCTTAGGTGGCTCCCGCTGGAGTCCTTCAGAAGATATGTTTCATTATGGTAGATAGTCTGATCTGGGCTGGTAGAGAGATTGTGTATTTATCTATTTCGCTCTCGCTGCGAGTCGAGTTTCACTCATCTACCTAGTCCTACGTGATTTTATCTAGTTCTGCATAGCTGAGATGGATATTGTGGGGGAAATTCAGCTGGAAGAAGGAAGGAGATTGCTTTGGATATTAGAGATAGATCCGTGAGGGAACGACGTGGCTTCAAAGTCTGGCTGGGAGTTTTGATAGGAGATGGAATGGGATAAAACGACAATAGCTAGCTAGGGAGTTCCGGTTTGGAAAGGTGGAGATATAACGAGTCTGTCCCTCTCTCTCTAGCTGGTCCATTTTCAGACTTGAGTGATGGAATAGTGAGTAGAGATGGGAAGGGGAGGAAGGAGTTTGGAGGTGTGGAGGTGTGGATTGGATGGGAGGGTCGAGATTGAGTGAGGATATCTTACCTATCTGATCCTTTTTTCAATAAAATGTCGGGTTAAGAAGGGTTGGCATGTATTGGCTTTCTCGATTGTGATTCCGAACCAGATCTAAGTTTGAATTCGACTTAATGGAGTTGTTGATACAGAATCTCATTAGTGCAACTAGCACCCGATTTCAGGAATACGAGCTGATTGCCATTTAGGAGGAAATTGATAACAGCAGAAACGGCAACAGCAAATACACGAAGAGAAGTCCTACCGGCCGCCACTCACCGTTGCCCACTCTCTCTACCGCGTGAAGGTTGCCAGAGAACGCCGACGATCAGCGCATCGCAGCTTCTGGTTCTCCTTGACGATGCGGCTCTTGACTTCGTTATCGACGAAGCTATAATCCCAGCGGATTCCTTTGGGTCGATAACGAGAGATATTGATGGCTTGAAAGGCGGCGGCGAGATCGTCTAGATGTTGGGAATCCATTGCGAAAGATCCACCACGTTGGTATTAGGAGCGGTTTCAAAGCTTGAAATTCAAGTCAGGAAACGGAGTCCATAACTGTAGGAGGAAGGAGCAGGAGGGGTGTGGGATGTGGGATCAGCTTCTTTTATACACCGGGATAGCCATTTGGATTGGGGGCTGCCATCAAGGGAGTCATAATTTGTTGAATATGGGGCTGCGCGAACGACCCGAGGGTTGACTTTCCGGGTACTTGTCGACCCTGATAGGTATAGGGCTGATTTCGCGTTGTATCTTTTGACGTGGCGTTCCTTATAGATATCGAGGTTGTTTGGGTCCATAATTTGGGCGGCTTGGGAAAATGGGCGATGCGATCGACAGAGGGAATCGTCGTAAGGCAGTGTTTTGCCAGAAGTCGCGTGATCCCAATGGCCATGGAAGTCGTTTTGGCAAAAGGTGATGGGAGAATTCTGAAATTCTACAACTATCAAAACACCTCAATTATTGAATCGAGGCGACAGCTAGAATGCTCCCAGCATGTCACACCAGAATTCAATGGGTGAGCTTTGGTCAAATTTGAAAAGCTCAGAATCTTTCCCGTCATACTGTATCGTACCCAGATTTGACAGAATAGTCAAATAGTGCAGACTTATGCTGCGAATTCATCCACAGAATGAGAGACGGAGGTGGATAAAGTTTAGGCGTCAAGGTGAGGACGTCAAGCTAAACTTGATGCTTGACAGTCTGAGCATGATATCCGGAGTCGTAAAATGCGTAGCTGGGGATAGGTTATGGAGAAATCGGACAGGGGGAAAAGTAACTTCTGGTCCCTGGAAACCGTAAGCCGAGTGAGACAGTGCCAGTGAGACAGTGCCAGTGAGAAGGGATGTGAAAAGGCAAATTGAATGACTGACCGTTGAGAGGTGGAAATGCATAAATGAAGGACGATTTCTAAAGAATTCCTAAACCCACAAGTCACGGTAGCCCTGCTTTTTAAATATTCGACCCAGAGTCTGATATTGAAAGAAGAGCAAAGACACACGTTGATGTCAAAATATACTTTGCTAGTTCGACTCGGAACCAAAAGGGAAAATGAAAGGGAAAGTATCAATAGACATACTATGTCTGTCAGCAACTAACAAGAGAGTTCTTATTGACGAGAAAAGAGACAGCCAAGTGCCTTGCACGTGGCTTCAGAAGCAGTCTCACTGACTTCCACACCAGCCCGCTTGAACAGAAGTTATAGCGCCTTTATGGATGTGGCTTTGGGGTGTAGCTCGTCTATGACTTCGGGGAAGGGTCCAGTACAGCTTTGGAGAAGGAACCTGGCAACTTTCCTGAGAGAAGAGAGTGGTGAAAAAGTACCTAGATGGCATAAGGTAAGGAGATGGAAGCACGAGAAACAAAAACTGGCCGAGTCTGCGTCTGCGTAAGGTACGGAGATGATTCCCGCTTGACTGTAAGCGGAATAGACGAACTTTCCAACTGAAGGTGTGTTTTAGAGAGTGTCTAGCCTAAAATGGACTAATCTGGACTCATGATTCTGAGCTTTTGACGCTGGCTTCAAACTTAATTCGCAACGAACAAACCAGGAGCATTCGGATTCCTTCTTGGATATCCAGTCCTGTTAAAGACCGAGTGCCATAGTTACCAATCAAGATAATCTGCAGTGTCCCGGGAGTCATTGAACAACTTGGCCTTTTCAGAAGAATTCAGGGATCATCGAGGATCGAACGGTCACAAACGCCATTATACTCAAGTCTCAAGTGAACTCCCCACATGATCGACGGAGCGGGCATCTCCAGAGTGAACCCAATAGTATGTACTGTGCTTAGGGCAGGTTTCCCTCTTAAGGTCTTTTCTCCCGAGGGAGGGACAAGTGACATTCGAGGCGTGTGGGCGCATTACGAGGATGACGAGCACCGTTTGATGGCGGTAACAGGAGCGACGACAACATGCAAGTTCGTGTTCTTCGGCTTCGTATTTGCAATTTCTGTTGTCCTTCAGTCTTTTGAAATTCTTCCTTTCTTCCCCGACAATTTCCAGAATCTCTATACAACATTTGATGCGACAACCACGTCTTCCAAGACCGGGGTCTTTATTCATGGGCCATAGCAGCCATCATATCCGTCTACTTATCAGTTTTCCCTTTATTTGTTATGGTCGAGACGTGATGCTTGGAGTACCTTAATTATCTCCTATTTCTGTCTCGTGAGCTACCCCAGCACCCTTATAATTTGTATAATTTCTGCTCTTTTTAGTATCGGTGCTCTATTATCTTTTGAGTCGCTGGGGAGCATATGTACCTTGGCAGCTGTAATCATCGATGCTGTATTAACTGTATCGACTTTTGAAAGGGTTCGGGCCACCTTGCATAGAGGCTCTGGTGCATGCATTGGGTATAACATCTGGGCCAGTCTACTAATGATATGTGTTGCGACATAAAAGTGATGGTGTGTCTGCTGTCAGCTGCGACGGTTGGCAGCTATGAACTATGTCGCTCGGTTATGCTGGCTTACTGAATTATTCATGGAGTATACTTCCATTGCGATTTTCTGTGGCAGCTTTCCATCTTAGCAGACTTCACGTTATATATCCTGGCGATCGCAATTGGGTTGCCCGGTACCTTGGACAGCTGATGCTGCGCGATGATAACAACCTGAGGAGTCTACTAGTACCTACAAAGCCAAGTGGCCTGGATAATGAGGGCGAAATTGTCCAGATTCTAGAAAGAGGAAGAGATTATGAAGGCGATTTTGGGCGAACAAAGATAGGAGTGCACGTGGGGAGATCTGCTTTAAGAGTATATAATTGTCGTAGACAAAAACCCTGACATTGTGTTAGCACTCAATCTAATGGCGGCGTCCGTAACGGACTGTTCCCTATATCTTATAACGGCGCTCTTTTCTGACACACTTAGTGGTGGGCCGGACGACAAAAGCTCTTCCTTTGAAATGCCCTCGGTGTATACGTCCCATTCGCGGCCTGCGAGTCTCTGGGTCTCCAGCAACACGTCAAATCTCGGATATTGCAGCCACTATTACCCAATCTGGTGAATGCAATTCTTGTATCGTGAGACCAAGGCACACGAACACGAGTGCGTGGATCAACCTTTCGCCGCCAACTAGCAGGATGAAGCCATTCTAAGCGACTAGGTGTCGATCTTTGGAGACTGCAGACGGGGTATGGTGAGGAGAGCGACGCCGATAGCGAAGGAGGGTGAAGTGAAGGAAAGGACACGACTCGCTCGAATAACGTCATTGAGAAAGGAGAGAAAGGGCACGATTAGTGGATTGAGACCGCCACCAGAGAATCAAGCTACTTGTGAACGGAATATCCCGCCTTGGGCTACAGCATTCCATTACTTCTGACCGCTATCCGGGAGAACCAGAACCAGGACCAGAGATTGGGAATTGGGGTCCCCTGATTTGGCCGTGGGGCCGTCCGAGAGAGTCCGAAAAATATCTCTCCAGGTCGTCTTGTCGGAAAACAAGGAGGGACTCAAGCCCAAAACATCTCCGATACCAGCGTCACCTATCGCTCGAACTCACCGTCTGATGTGAGAAGGGTGCCGCTTTGGTCTACGACGGCCACACGGGCGGTGGGCAACAGAAAATCCGGATACAATCAACCACTCTACACTACTTTGCAGTCACTCTTCAGATGTCTTGCCGCAAAATCAAAAGTACTTTGTTGCCGTCACGATCAACTGCCTCGTCCGATCACCTCTAGCCCCACTACTTATGTTTAAATAAGATTTAAGACCTCCTGATTTGTTCCCGAATGCTTCGCTAATAGAAAACTGCTTAACCCCGCGGCCCCGACCGGTCCGTCCCGAGAGATCTAACCTTAATTAATCATAGGTACATGCACTACCTCTGTACAAGATATCAACCTGTCGAACAGTAAGAGACCCAATTGGCTTTTTTGGTCACTTCCTACTTCATGGGCGGTTAATGCTCTGATACTCGAGGACACTGCTTTAGTAGTATGCGTTTCTCTTGACGATCCGGACATAACTACTGGGGTCGGATAAAGCCACAGAAGTCATATACAAGCGGTGATAGGTTGCTGGTGCGACTCAGCTCGCCACAGAGATCAACCACTGGATTGTTCATTGGAGGACTTTTGTGCAGTACAACCGGCGGGAGCTAGATAGTGGGTTAAGAAGCTCATGGTCACTGCCGCAGTGCCGGTTCAGAAAAGTCAAAAGTACATGGCTGCATGGATCTCCTCCACAACTAGATAGGACCCGACGCGATGTCTCGATGTCCCGACCAACAGGACTTGCCGATTTTTCTATACACCACCATCTCCATGGATTTGGCTTCTTCGTGGAAGTTTTGGGGTGGTCTCGCTCCTGACAACTCACAAGCCACCAGCCAAACAGATAACCCCAATGAGTAGCGAAGGCAATGATCGCCTAGTATATCGGAGTATGAGGTTCAATCCAATTGGGCCCTTGAGTGATCTTCTCTTCTGAATGAAGCTGATCATCAACTAGCCTAGGCGAGTTCGCAATTGCCTTTGCATTGAAGTCTCCATCTCCAGAGTGTGTTGAAGAGTATGCCGATTGGTGCAGCTGAACATCGCATCCTCGAAAGTTTCGGTGAGGTTATGCATGTCGGTATCTTCTGACGTGTGGTGAGGGAACGCTACTCTCAACTCTGCGGCCATACTCTGAACCTATTTTCCCGTGGAAAGTTCATGTGGCTGGAACCTCGGAGAAGAGAGATAAATTAACACTGGGCCCCATGATGTATCTATCCTTAGCAACACTCGGTGTGAGATATCTCGATCACTCAATCACCTTTCTTCTTCTCTTCATGTCTGTCTGGGTCTTCACAATTCCTTGGGGCTCATACTTCGATCGACTCTGTCGTGTATGTAGTTTTAAATGCTCCAACTACTTCTCATGCTGAACAGAAAATAGTTACCATATCGAAGACCAGGGTGCTTCTCAGAACTTCAGCATGGCGCCTAATTTTCATGAATGTGGAATCATATTTCAAAACAATCTATCCCTCTACGCAAATTATGTCTACACTGGGCCTGTTCAAAGGACGTGGAACGATGCCGGCGGGGCCCCTGCTTTGATAACTTTGGATGGCTGTGACCACCTTTGCGGGACAGGGCCCGAGTACTACTCCTGGGCTGACTCCTCATCCACGATCCTTACTTGGGTTTTGCCCGTTATCGGCCTGTTGGTTATGGCCCCTTATGAGAGCAACGCGAAGAAGAAGACGCTATTCCTCATGTGCAGATACGCTGGATCACCTCTTGCGACCCTATCTTATATCCTTTGGAATATCAAGGTCACTGGGAAATGTGCTTTGATGGTTGACATGGCTTCGGTCTATAAGGATGTACCTGGTCCAGATTCTGCATTTGGAAATATGCGAGATTCTCTGTAGGGTTCTGACCCATACCTACTGGTTTCTACCTCATTGACTTGAGACTAGATATTTACTAGGAGTAATGAATCAATACAGTCTGCGTCCTGGTATACCACAAGTCGAAGCAGAGAAACTTCTGAGAATTACACTGTTTAGCGATACTTTGAAACTAGCTGCCGATGAGAAGCCTACCAAGACGCTGCCCATGAGGAGACGAAAGCTTGCACGTTCGCTTCGTCAGGGGCGCAAGCAAGGGGCAGTGCCAGTCTTTCTCTCGTCGATGTGGTTCATGTTTGCGATGGCAATCTCGATCGAGATGGCTTTCGGAGAGATTGGAAACAACGCTACGGCACATAATCTGGCAATGGGACTAATGCTGGCTTGGTTCCCCGCCATGATTCTCTGCGGTATGGTGGATCTCAGTCCAGGCGCGAGCGACGAGGTCCGTTTGAGGCTTAACCACCTCCTAGATACTGTTCGCACTGCTCTTCTGGATGAAAATCTTTCTAAAACTTATATAAGACATCCCCCTCAGACAGCGGAAGACCTCCAATGGACTGACGTCCTCCGCGAACACAGATTTCTCGGGAAGTCTGGATTCTTCACTGGTTTTGCCGGCCAAGGTAGGGTGCGATGGCATCGTGGTGTTGCTCATCCTGTCCTAACAGGCATCGAAGATGCCTATGTTGCGCATAAAGGACGTGGATGGCTCGGAAGCAACCCCGAAGAAACATGGGAAGCGTTGAATGCGGTCGTCCTTGGACCAAACCATGGAGATAACCTACAAGGTCTGAAGTATTTTGATCCACGAGAGCTATTAGCGGTATGCTGTTCCCTGTCCATTGTCACCGGCTCCATCATTGGGGCCTTCATCATATCATATTTTACTCCGACCGTTGGACTTGGTTGCCGCTCCGGGGGATACATGATCTTCGCCATTATTGATTTTGCCATTGCGCTGTTTGAAGGTCTCGCCTGGTATTACCTACGAGAAGCGCTACCAGAGTCTCGCCGCCGGTCATATTGCACTGAATCTAGCTTGCCTTTCTCCATCGAGACAAGGCCTTTAATTTCGAGGGCATTGAGCAAGCCCCGACAACTGTGGAATAGAATCCGGGAGATTATCTATAACAATCCCCGCCGGGTTGTCGAGGTCTGCATACTCATTCCGATGGAGTTTGTCAACACAGGCTGGCTTTTCTACATCGTGATCGCTCAAACCTTTGGTATTTACAACACCTGTTATTGCCAAGCCTCAACCTGGGCAGGTACTGGTGGATACGTCAACTTTGAAGATGCGGCATATTACAAAGCTCACGGAGTTACGATGTATTGGGTAGTTGGCACGGTAATCTCATGTGCTGTCATGTGCGTCACCATTGCCTACGTCTTGAAAGAGTGGTGCGTGCAGAGCCACTTAAACACCAGTGACTACGAGGCAGCAGCAAGAGGTCTCAAGACAACAAGAGCCTTCAGGAAGTACACTCAGTTCTTGACCATCCCGAAGAATGCGGCGAAAATGTGTTTCAAGCTCGTCTGGATAGCGATTGGTGCCCCGGGTCATCTTGTTGGTCGAAGGAGCTTGATCTGGACGCCAAAGCCAAACAAGGAGGTTTGGAATGGCCAACATCGTGAGGTACGGTCGTTGCCAGTCTGTGATGGAGAGAAGGCGGAGTCAGGGTCTGATAGACACTGGAAAGAGAATGTCGTGATTGAGAATCCGATATCACCGACAGAACTGAGGGATTAAGTTATGTTGGAATCAGACACTCAGGCATCCACTGAGCGGTAGATAGCCCAACTTCGAGTAGTCAAGTGTGATGGTGGCATGGCTTGTCATGGAAAGGCATTTGGCACAGTTGAATTGTCTGATGATTGATTTCAAAGTAAACGAAATTTGAAAATACCCCGCCCTACCACGCGCGCAACAACTGTTTCGAAGTAGAAGCCATATCACGATCCCGCCATGAAAGCGCTCCATTCTTGTTCTTAAGGCGGTTCGTTTATATGAACCCTCAAATCCACATAACTTCATCAATTGTCAGATGGTGGTTGATTAAAGAAGGCAAAGGCGACAACAGATCTTGCGCTCCCCAACCCGGACTTTAAGAGCGGAATGTCCCAATAAAAAAGAAAAGACAAAGTTTTGAAGAGCGTGCTGGTCTTGTCTACTTTTGTCGGACAAGGACCATCTCGTCTGCGTCTGTGGCAGGGCTTCTGGCCGCATTCTTTCTCTTTTGCTGATCAACATTGTGAGTCTTCTGTGACATGCTCTTAGCATTCCCCCACGGAAGTAGCTCTAGCTGACTGTGTGACTCACCCGGCTCTTCTGTACTTTGGATTTCTTCTGAAGTCGGAGCCCTGGCAAGTTTGCTTGGGGCCGAGGTCTAATGCCACGTCCAGGCTGTTTGTTGTTCTCTGGATTTCCTGGACGGTCCCGCTGGCCCTTGGCTGAACCACTCACAGAAATTCCCAGAGCAGAAAACATTTTAATTGCTACTTGCTGCTTTTCAATATTTTCTTTTAGAGTCGTGATATCGGCAGCAACACCTGCGAGTCTTCCGCGCAACTCCTGTTCCAAAGTAGAATCAGCAACCCCCAGTTTTTGCCTCTCCTCTAGCTCCAAAATGCGGAAGTTAATATTGTCCAGCTTATTATCGGCTCTGATCAGGGTCTCGAAGTTGACGATGATTGACCCGATGGCTGCGGCTTTGAGACAGTTGAGATCGAAGACGCAGCGATGGTGTTCTTTCATGAGAGCTTTGATGCTGGCTTGGGATGGAAGACTGGGGCTTGTCATATTGATCTTCGATCTTGATTTCTAGGCTGGAGGATCTGAAGTTGATGTGGGTAGAGGAAGACTGTAGATGAGGCTGTAGGGTGAAGATAGCGGGAAGTTGTTGAAGACGCAAAGAAAAATGTATGGGAATAGTGAATTTATAGGAGTTTGTACTTGAGTAGGAGAAGAGTGAGAGAGGAGAGTGGTTTCGTTCGACGAACTTGAAGTGAGAAGAAGTTCAATTAGGACCTCATAACATCTGCGTTATAAATGCCTACTGCAATTCATCAAACCATGGACCTATGAGACGTTGTAACTTCTAAACATGACCCTTGAACTCTTGAAGAAATATAATCATAACAGTAAATCATAACAGTGTGTATGACTTGGGTTCATAAGATGGGTCGAATTGCGAACGTCTGGTTCGAGGAACTTGAAGTGAAGAGAAGTTCATTAGCTGGGGCCCCATAACGACAACGCTGTAGATGCATAAGATACTCCATTTCATCAAATCACAGATCGATGAGAGGTTCTAAACCTGACCTTTGTATCCCTAAAGGGATATAACAATAAAAGTAGACCATAACGGATCATAACATCAGAATATCGGTTCGTGAAGGTAGGTGGAATTGCGAAAGTCTACTTCGAGGAACTGCTGTAAGCGGAACTAATGTCGTAACGTTCTTCTCCCGCTACCAGCCACAGCTTTTCTGCATCCCCAGCTGTATCAGATCTCTTCCAGATCTGATTGGTGTGCGTCCTGCACCTTGCCTTACCGAGATATACCCATCATAGCATGTTATCACCTCGTTAGCCCTGGGGTTATGAAGCAGGGTTCTGTTGCAAGGTCTACGAAGCGAGAAGACGTTGGCATATCTCCCCGGATCCTCGTTCAGAAGATCGCACCATACCTTTATTGACATTTCGACTTCGGATGGCTCTTGAATTCCTGGAAATGCGGGAGCTCAACAGATAGCACCCTGAATTATATAGATTGTGTGTGATGTGCAAATAGTCACAGAAGTCGGGCAGTGGCGAGTTAACCATGCCATGCCTTGATGCCCTCTTCTGGTTAGCTGTAACTTGAACTATCAAGTCCTATAGAGGCAGTCCTGATCGAGGCCTTATAATTTACTCAAAGTCTCTAAGACTCTGGCCTAAATTCGGACCCCATCTAAACTTTCCTTTGGTTCATTCACATGAAACCCTTTGTAGCTGGTCTATTGAGGGCGAAGATAGCGACCTCGGTCCCAATCTCAACAGGGAAATGCCATTACTCTAAACTCAAATTTCATATGAACTAATACATACAGAGAATAACTCCCATCGTTCGTCTTTTCCGTCCATAATCTGTGACCTTTGTCGTCTACGACCAAGATATGCTATATCGAAATTAGTAAGAAAGTCAGGGATTAGGTTGTGGCAAGACCTACATGAGCATGATTCCTGCCCCCGCAGCCATAGCAAGAAACTGCTTTGCTGTCTTCCACAGTTCCAGCTTGCTGTCCTTGCCGGTCTCCAGAAGCTCGGGGATAACGGCCACAGTCCCAACATACAGGAACGTCCCCGCCGTGAATGGCAATAACATGTCGCCCCATGATAGGCTGGTTCCCATCAACCCTTCGGTTCTCCCCACCCTTTCGTCACTGCTACTACCACTGTATTCCTGCACCACAATGCCTATAACAGTTCCCAACAGAGCCCCGACAGCGGTAACAAACTGCGCCCCCATAGCGGCACGTTTGGAAAAGCCGGATTGGATCAGAAGGGCAAAATCCCCAACTTCGTGTGGGATTTCGTGGAAGAAGACAGCGACAGTAGTCGTTGCACCAATTGTCGGGCTCGAATAGAACGATGCGGCAAGCGCTAAGCCGTCGGTGATGTTGTGGGTAAAATCAGCGCTGTGGATACTTGTCAGTTAACCCCATGATGACGGCCTGCTCAACTCACATGAGGTTCAAATATCCGGCCAATTTCACACTGGCATTAACCTCCTTCTCCCCCTTGACCACCGTCAACTCTTTGTTCTCCTTCTGCTTCTTTCTCGAGCGTGCACTCTTCCCTGGCGAATCTTTCAGCGCGCTCGTTGTTCCAACAGGCTTCACAACCTCCACCTCATGCGAATGTCCATGGCCATGGTCGTGTCCGCCATCTCCCCCGGTCGCAATCCTAAGGCCCTTATCCATAGCCACAAATGTCACGAACCCAACCATGATCGCCACGCCGAGCAGCAGGTTCCTGTTTGGTTCCACGAGGACAAACCGCACATGTTCCGGGCTATCCTCCCCAAGGAAGATCTCGGGCAGTAGGTGGAATAGCGTATCTCCCAGCAATCCACCAACAGCAAACGCGACCATCACGCTTAGGGAGGCTGGGTCGATATTGGGCGGACATAATGCGAGCAGGAAATTGGGCGGGCCCGAGATGTAGAGTGTTGCGAGGAGGGCGTTGACTGCGGGGGAGCCGGGGAAGAGCACGGAGAAGATGCGCGAGGCAAAACTAGAGGTTGGAGGAGATGTGGTTTGCTTGTAATAATTGAGATCTTGAACGAGAGGGCACTCCTAGGTGAGAGTCAGCTTAAGTCAGATATTCAGGGGCAGTGTTGTCGCGTGTACCTGGAGCTTTTCCGCGATTTCTGGCACGCTCATGGACGCGACCGACGCAGCATGTTTCTCGGCATAGACGCAGGCAAGTGCAAATGCCAGGAGGATGGCCACGCGCCGCGGCTGTAAAGATACCATTTTGCGCTTTGGCGATACCTTGGAATTGAGGTGGGTTGAGAGGGGAGATGAGGACAATGAAGCTTTAGGGGTTTGGAGGCTCGTGATACGCAGCACCCGACTATTGTTATATGAACCCCCTCCGCGTAAGGCGTCAGCGGTGAATAGTAGTAGTCTACCTTATCTACCTTATACTAGAGGGATTTCGCAGCTTAGAATCAGTTAATGCACGACTCGCTAGGCCTAATTAGGGCGAGATTTGTACGGCGTACAAACGTCATCCTAATAGGGCTTAGTTCTGTGGAGTATTTTAAGGGTTGAGCTAAATCCACTTGACTGCCTAGTAACTAAATCCACTTAAGCCAGGGTGTAGTTATACTTAGTGTATGTTACAGGATAGGATACCGGGGTTATAAGAGACGGTTACTATAAGGATGCCTAAGGCAGGAGAACTAGTGAATGCCTTAGGCAGCTAGCTACATGTCACGGCTTACAGCGTGACATAGCCACGGCATCTACAGCCTGTGCTATTATAGCAGGCACGCTACAGTAGGGATTACTATAGTAAACAGAACTCTAGGTAGTAGAATAGATAATTAATCTTCTACAAAACTATAGAAACTTACCTTGTATAGTAACATTTAGTAGTAATCCTTCTAAAACTAGCTCTACTAGAGCACTAGTATGTTATAGTACGTTGTACTAGTAGCTTTATGCTATACTAACAATCTTAGACCTCTTATTACTCTCTTCTTAACAAATTATATTAACAGATTATTAACAGATTATTAAGGATTATTAAGGATTATTATAAAGCGTCTCTTACGCTATATATATATATATAGTATTATTATTATTATTCTTACTACCTATGCCTAATGTATATAGAACCTTTATACTACATAAATTACGTAGTAAAACTATACTAAAGCTAGGTAAAAACTTATATACTACTTCTTTAACTTATATTATTATAACGCCGCTAAGGCGCTAAGACCTTACTACTACCTTACTAGAACTTAACCTTCTAGCCTAGTAATACTAAACATACTAATAAGGCGCTAGTAGTGTACTAGTAAGGCGCCGGCTATTAGCTAGGATTACTCTCTCTCTTTTTTAGCTAGGTAGCGCTTAGCTAGCCTAAACTATAAGAACTAGTGTTAGGTATATTTTTATAGAGTAGAAGAGGTAAGAGTCGATAGACAGTCGTAGTGTATTTAAAGGTATATTACTACTTTAACTATAGACTAATCTCTAAACCCCTCTTCTTTCTTCTTTCTTTTCTTTATTCTTATACTCCTTAATACCTACTATTACCTTAGTCGTAGTATATAGTTACCTTATACTTGATTTCTAAGCTATTATAGTCTTACGTATTAGTGTACCTAATATAGTATCCCTTCTTTTTTTAGCTTCTGTCCTTAGAAGCTTATAGGTAGCCGTTAGATCGTAGAGAGGCTAAGGTAGGCTAATGCCTCTCTAAAAACAAGAATAAATATATAGAAATAAATTAGTAAGTAAATATATAACTATATATCTAGTAGTGTTAAAAAAAGGAAAGTTATAGCAACTTTATAGTATAGTAGAGTTACGTAGCTAAATTACGGAATTTCTATTATATATTGTAACTTAAGCTTTTAGCCTTATACCTTCTTTATTTACTTTTGTACTAAAGACACCTTAAAGTGTAGTACTAGTAGCTTACTAGGTAGTTATAGTACTACTAATTTGTAGTACTAACTATATTACTTAGGTATACTAGTATTCTTTACCCTTTTACTACTTTTAGAAATTCTTTATTACCTTTTACTAAAAGGTTAATAGACTACTAATAGTAAGTAGCCGTAAAGATTAAACTATATTACTTATAATAATACTCTTTAAGTAAATATAAAAAAACACTTCTTTTGTTCTTCTTTACTTAGTCCTTCTTTTATAGTACTAAGAGGTATATAAAGACTCGTTTTTACTAGTTTGTTGTCTCTTTTTCTTTTTTTTACTTTATATAAATATAATACTACTATACCCTTTTCTCTCTTTATAACTCTTCTAACAAACCTTAATTAAACTACTAACGACGATATAGCTTTATTAAAGCGTTTAGTAATATATAAATAATGCCTTAATTAGATAGCTTTATAAGACCTTTAAGGTACTATCCTAAAGTATAAAGATAATAACTATAAGTATCTCTTCTTAGTAAAGAGTAACGGCTTAATAGTATAGTAACTACGTTAGTAAAGTACGTTTATTATAAGAACTTAAAGAAAGAGTATATTTTTATAAGTATAACCTTTCTTAAGGTAACGCTCTTATGTCGTAGCTTTGTTAACGTTACTAGGTCGTTACGACCTTTTAAGCTAAAGGAATTAAACTTTAAAAGGTAATTATAAAAAAGGATAAGGTAAGGTAGTCTATAGTTTATAATAAAGTTAAAGCTAATACAAATAGGCTGTAATCTATATTATATAGACTTTTGTTAAAAAAAGTCTTTAATACTTAAAATTAAAGTCCTTAATATTAGCTAAAAAGTAAATTTAAAGTAATAAGGTAAAGAAGAAAGAAAAGACAGAAAAGAAGTTAGTATATCTAGCTAAAATTATTAAGTAGCTAGAGCTTTAAAACAAAATCATAATAGTAGTAAACATAAAGACAGATTATAGAAATTAGATTACTAAAGATACGTTATAAGTATAACGTAACTACGTTACTATATTTAAGAGGTATATAGTATATTTTAAGAAAGTTATAAGTATCTCTTTCTTAAAGTAAAGTCGCTACTAATTTAAAAGTAGTACGCTTATAATCTATAACGATTAGAAAGTAGTAAAGAACTAAAAGATACTATTAAGAATAGTAATAGTAAAGAAAATAATAGTAAAAAGGATAGTAATAATAATAATATTAAGAACAAATAATAGTTAAATATAAGTTAAAGCTTGTTTACCTAGTAAAATTATACCTTAGATCTTTTTTTCTTCTAAGATATATAATAATAAGCGACCTAGGGTACAAGGGATCTGACTACTGTGCCTAGCTAATTAAGGTTATTACCTAAGTAAGGGATCACTAGGAGAGAGCCGTAGAGGTACTAGGATAGAGCTAGACCCTAATAGACTAAGAACTAGTAACGATTAAGGCTAGGAGGCTATACCTCTTCTTAGAGCCGCTAGACATACCCTATAAGGTTGACAAGGTAGTTAACTTACTTACTTCTTAGCTTATACGTATTATAGACATATCTACCCTAAAGAAGAAGGTTAACTAGGGGCGTATTAAGCCCTAGTAGAACAGTAAGGTCCTTAAGGCCGTCTAGTAAGTATAGGTAGTACGCTATTAGTACGCTACCGCCCTGACTAAGCTCTACTAGCGCGACCTCTAGTAGGCTAGTACTTACTAACTCTATATAATCTAAGACGTAAAGACTAAGAGCTAGTATAGTACTTTTACCGCTACCTTAAAGGACTAACAGAAACTCTAGAGTCTTAAGAGGTAGGCTAGGCTCTATAGCTATATGCCCTTAGAACCGGCCTTACTCCTGCCTCTTTAGGGCGCTAATAGAGAGGTACTAGCTATAAGCTACTATAACAAAGTAATAGTATTAGGCTAACGGTTCTTTCTAGAATTAATAGCTAATCTTAGTAACGTCGTTCTAGACCTCTAGGACAAGTAGTACTAACGGTTTACTATTAACGACACTATAATAAAGGTAGATATTACTAATGTCCTCTAAAAGACAGGTACCTAAAAAGCGCTAGGTCCTAACCTACTACCTACTAGCTTTCTTAAGGTATATAAGCGCCCCTTAGCTAAGCTCTTTATAGTAATAGCGACTATAAGCCTCTAGCTAAGGCACTTTCTTACGTAATTTAAAGTAGTAAAGGTAGTAGTACTACGTAAGCCTAGGAAGACCCTTAAGTAGTAACAAACTACTAAGGCCTATAGGCTAATATTACTCTTAAATATAATAAGTAAAGTAATCGAGTTAGTAATTAGCTAGTACTTTACTAATACTATAGAGTTATAAGGGCTCTTCTTAGAAACGTAGATAAAGAACCGGCTATAGCGTTCGACAGACCTTATAGTTAAAATAGTAGTTAACACTATATATATAGCGTAAAGCTATAAGGCTATAGCGTCCTTCCTTTAACTTAACATTAAAGGCGCCTTTAATATAGTAAACTATATATACCTTCTTTATACTCTCTAGTACTTAAGGTTCCTTATATAGGCCGTATAGTAAGTATGTAGCTTCTTTACTAATTAGACAGCTAGTCTCTTCTTTAATAAGAAGGTAGTACTGCCTTAAGAAGTTACTATAAGGGTACTATAAGGCTCGCCCTTCTCTTTTATCCTCTTTCTCCTTTATACTACTAGCTTATACACGCTACTATAAGGTTATATAGGCTTTATTATAGTAAGGTTTACTAATAACCTTAACCTCTTAGCTTTTAGTAGAGACATAACAAAGACACGCTAGTACCTTAAAAGAGCGTAGTAAGTATATAGCTAATAGTCGTGTATAAGAGAAATAGAGTTTACCTTTAAAAAGAGTAAGCTTCTTTACCTTACTTATACTTATACTATACTAATAACGCCTGTCTACCTTAACGGCTAGGTTATACCCTTAGTCTAAGAAGCGCGCTTTCTAAGAGTTTAGATAGATTAGAAGCTTAGATAGAAGGGCTACCTTAACGCTATTAAACAAAAGTTTACTACCTAATAGTTTACGCTTATAAGGCTAGTCGTATCTACGTAAGGATATAGCCTACTACGCGTAAGGAAGATCTATACAAAGGTAATCTAGAGTACTATAGTATATAGCGTAAAGGTCTAGTACTACCTCTTTAGGTAGCGAGCTAAAGAGATCGTAAAGGACCTTACTATAAAGTAGTTATAGTACCTCTACGTTATTATAAGGGCGTACTAAGCGACTCTTATTTAGTTCTTTAAGACTAAAATAACTACGCCTCTACTTGACCTCTACCTTAATAAATAAGTAGTAGACTTTAAACGACGTCTTAAATGTATAGGTAAAGGCAAACTTATATAGTCTATCTATAATAGAGTAGCAAACTGTCTTTAATAACGCTAGAGACGCTACTATAGCACTACTATAGCG